CTAAGTACCTCCGAGGTAACAGGAATAATAAAGAAATCCATGTACAATTAATAGAAGAGCTAATAACGAATGACCCTAAGCCTTAGTAAATTAAGGTCTATAATTATGTATCTCGAGTAAGTAATAAGTGTGTAAAGTGTAATTTTTTAAGATTAAGTGGGGATAGTCCGTTTAACCTGAAAGATTTAGGCTTGAAAGCTGAAAGGGGAAAATTAATACTTAATCGTAGCTGTAAACCAACGGGAACGTGGCTTAAAAAGCCCACGCGTCCCTGCACCCAAGGTCAGGGGAAGGGAGTAACTTAAGTTACCAGTTGTCTAAATGAATACCGCACGAAAAAAAACCCATCCACTGTAAAACTTATATTGAAGAGTAAAACCTTAATATTAACATTAATTCAAAAGGAAAGACTGCAATATCCTGCCCCGAAGGGATTTGATTGGCTTGAACGATCGTGCGCAGGTATTAATTATATTCAAATATAATCCAACATAATAATACAAAGAGAATACTCCGAAGTAATCAATATAATAACTATATGACCCAAATAAAATACATATCAACGTAAAAGTACCCGATAAAATGAATATAAGGAAAAACGGTTCTTTAACCATAACTGAGACCCGCTTGTCTCCGGAGAGACACACACAACAAATTAAAATTGTGGTAACTGAGTCCCGAACAGCCCGCAAAGAACTGCGTCCATTACAGTCTAAAATTAACTGAGTCGATTACATGAAGTCCATCATAGGTTGTCCTCCGTATGCAGGCCGACAAATAAATTGGTTTACCTATTGCGATTAAAGTTTTAATTAAGAAGCGTTAAGCGTAAGATAAGTATAAGATTGGATTAAAGAATAACCACTTAATGTGTAAAACCTCAGCTTATAATCTTAATGCGGGAGATTAAATGCTTAATCTCGTCCGAAGGGAGTTAAATCATGACTGTGACATGCATGTGTCCGTGCGGCACTGACTCCATAAATATAAGGATGATAATAAATATAAGAAATATAAGGTCCAATACAGCGGTTTCCATAGTAAGTTACTCTCCGAATGCGTGGTTCGTTTATCAGCCTCGTGAATTTGCTGATTGCAGATCAGCTGGAACGGCAGCAGTCGGAGGGTCGTCACCTGTTGAATAAAACAATTTTTTGGGGGGAATGTAAAAGGAGATATTCATTTCTGGTGTGTTGAAATAGGGTCCTTGCGTCTGTCCCGTGAGATTTTCGGTGCAGCAAATTATAAAATTTTTATTACCGAGTCCATTGCAATGATCTCCAGCTTCTGAAGTCGTTGTTGGTGGGGCTGCCTGCTACACCAGCGGTCAAACTGGTACAGCCAGCGTCCTGGGACAATCCACGGCCAAGGCAAACCAGCAGCCAGTGAGGCTTCATAAGATAATTTTTGGGCTTAAACGTCAGACAATAGATCTGGCAATCCAGCAGCGAGGCGGCCGCATAATAATTCCGGGCTTAACCGGCAGACATTAGGTCTGGCAATCCAATAGTGAGGGCGGCTGCATAATAATTCCGGGCTCAACCGGCAGACATAGGTCTGGCAATACAATAGTGAGGGCGGCTGCATAATAATTCCGGGCTCATCCGGCAGACATAGGTCTGGCAATCCAATAGTGAGGGCGCATAACAATTCCGGGCTTAACCGGCAGACATTAGGTCTGGCAATCCAATAGTGAGGGCGGCTGCATAATAATTCCGGGCTCAACCGGCAGACATAGGTCTGGCAATCAACCGAGGGACATAGGCTGCAATCATAATAATTCCGGGCTCAACCGGCAGACATAGGTCTGGCAATCATAATAATTCCGGGCTCAACCGGCAGACATAGGTCTGGCAATCCAATAGCGAAGGCGGCTGCATAATAATTCCGGGCTCAACCGGCAGACATAGGTCTGGCAATCATAATAATTCCGGGCTCAACCGGCAGACATAGGTCTGGCAATCATAATAATTCCGGGCTCAACCGGCAGACATATAGGTCTGGCAATCCAATAGCGAAGGCAGCTGCATAATAATTCCGGGCTCAACCGGCAGACATAGGTCTGGCAATCATAATAATTCCGGGCTCAACCGGCAGACATAGGTCTGGCAATCATAATAATTCCGTCTGGCAATCATAATAATTCCAGGCTCAACCGGCAGACATAGGTCTGGCAATCCAATAGCGAAGGCGGCTGCATAATAATTCCGGGCTCAACCGGCAGACATAGGTCTGGCAATCCGATAACGAGGGTGGCAGCTAGGGCGGCTGTATAATAATTCCGGGCTTATCCGGCAGGCCAGAATCTAAAAAATCCGGCGGCGAAGGAGGCTGCATTAAAATTTTTATGCCTAACCCGTAGACAATATTTCTGGCCAATCCAACGCGAGGGCGTCTGCTGAAAAAAACCCGCGTCATTGCTAATTGATCTAGCTAGTTAAAACTAGCATCGTTGATACTGAATAGATAAAATTCCCCGGCTTAACCGGCAGACTATAAGTCTGGCAAGCTAGCGGCTAGGGCAATGGTATATAAGAATTCCGTATTAATCGTCGGACAATCGTCTGTCAATCCAGCAGCGTGGTGAGCTGCATAAAATTTCCGGGCTTCACCGTCAGACAATAGGTCTGGCAATCCAGCAGCGTGGTGAGCTGCATAAAAAATCCTGGCTTAACCGACAGATAATAATTCTGGCAATCCATCAGCGATGGAGGCTGCATAAGAATTCCGTCTTAAACAGCGGACAATATGTCTAGCAATCCAGCAGCGTGTTGAGCTGCGTAAAAAGGTTCCGGGCTTAACCGGCGGACAATATTTCCGGCAAACCAGCATCGAGGATACTGAATAAAAATTCTCGGGCTTAACCGGCAGACAATAATTCTGGCAAGTTTAGCGGCGCGGGCAAGGCTGTATAAGAATTTCGTCGTAATCAGCGGACAATAGGACTGTTGGCTGCATAACATGTTCTGCCTAGGCATGACCTAGCTGGCCTGGCTAGAGCGGCTGCAGGCCGCGTGGGAAACAGCGCTGGGCACACGCCGACACTTGGGAGGAACCTAGCTTTTACATTTAGAACATAAGATAACACATTACCTTGGAGAAAGTTGAGTACTGTAGACCGACCCTAGCTTTTCAGCTTGTGAGGTTGAAGGGCCCCCTGAGATAAACTCAACCAGGGTGGGGCTGTGATCGTGGTACAATCGTAGTTTTCATGGCTTCTTGAATTCCCAAGAACACAAGAGTCCTAAGTTATTCCTTTTTCTTGCGAAGCGAAGCGTGTTTGTAGCGTTTGTAGCAAAAAATTTTTCTTTGACTTGTGAAGCGGGGCGAGGCTGTAGCAAGAAAGAACGCATGTCCCCTCCTCTCTTCTTATATAGGGCCCCCGCGGCGCTCCGCACGCTGTGCTGCGGATCGCGCTGTGCAACTGTCTTCTCCTCCATCAGAAATTCCTCCGCATTCCTACGTAATGCAGCGGTTATTTCATCATAACATCAGGTAGTGATGACTTCTCTGGGGTACTCTCTCTCTCCTACGTTTTGCCTGCATACCCCTAGAACCTGGTTGTTGCTCACTGCTTGTTTTTCTCACTAAGAACCTTTTCATACAGACTTGTTTTCCCCTACGTTTTAACACTTGTCTGTAGTGAGGCATCACAGTGTCATTAAAAAGGTTAAGGCAACAGCCTGCTGAAGCTTGATTTGGGTCGTTTCAACAAAAATTTGCATTTCTTCCCATACTTCACACCACTTCTTAATTGTTGAGGAATCCATGGCGTGGTATATAATAATTACTTTTATGTTTAGAAAACAAAAAACTGAAAACACTGAAAGTCTTTACAAAGAATTTATGCTCGATCGTCACTAAGAGGGAGTCGCTGGTAAACTGAAGAGCAGTCGCTCGTGCCATCAGGAACCACACACTCGGTCGACCCATACGTGTATCAACAAGCTCGCAAATCAAGGCAAGGCTCGTAAACCAATTCAAATTTTATGAAGAAATTGAGCTCGTAACCTTAAAAATTTGTAAAGAGGGGCATTCGTAAGCCAAGGTTCCACTGTACAGTATTTATGTACGGTAAAAATGAGGACCCCTAAAATACAGGGTACAAAATAAAATAAAATCTGTCCATAGTAGGAAAGTATCATGTAAAGGAAAATAATGATGTCTGACGACTTAAAGTTTAGGGAGCATAACCAAACAAATATAGTGTCAGCTGTAACCATGATAGGATGGATAACAACAATCTTCAAATCCAGGGGTTCCCATCACAATGTCATACTATTCAATCACTTGTGCTGTCCCATCTTGAGTACTGCTCGATACTCACTTTTTCCTTCAGAGCAGGAGAGAGTGATGAAATAGAGGGAATACAGAGAACATATATGGCATACATAGACATAATAAAGCCTCTAAATTATTGGGATAATCTCAAAGTTCTCAAAATTTACTCTCTGGAAAGGAGATGAAAGAGGTATCAAATAATATGTTCATGGAAAATACTTAAGGAACATGTTTCCAAATTTACACAGTAAAAAAACAATGTACTGGAGTGAACGATATGGAAGGAAATGCAGAATAGAACCAGTGAGAGGTGCCATATGCACAATCAGAGAGCACTGTATGAACATCAGAGGTTAACGGTTGCTCAACATCCTCCCAGGAAGCATAAGAAATATTATCGGAACAAAAGTTATTTCTTCAAGAAATAACTGGACACTTTTCTTCGAGGAGTGCCAGACAAACCAGGCTGTAGTGGATATGTGGGCTTGCATGCTGCTCCAAGCAACAGCCTGTTGGACCTTGACTTAACAACCTTAACTCAAGCCTAGCCCTGGGCTGGGCTTGGGGAGTAGAACTACTTCTGGAACCTCATCCAGGTACTAGATAACAGATGTAATATACCTTGAGTGACACCTTCAAAACTAACATTCATAAAAGTTCAACATAACATCATTGTAAATGCATCATTTCTTATAATTATATTTATGACTTGGTTGCAGGCACTCCAGTCTCACTTTGGAGGGACAGTAATGGAAAGCTTTGAAGTGATGCTGAAGAACAGCTTTAATCTTGTGACTACCATCTACGAGCTTCAGATGGTGCACGTGCAGCTAGACGAGGAACGCCCGAGTAATGAAGCTAAATGTGAAAGCAAAGGCGGGTAGATTAGTTTATATCTAACTGATCTTTGGACCTACGAGAAATGATTACTGTCTTTTTTTTTTCATATAATTTAAAGCTACAGAATACTATTTATTTTTACATTTGATCTTGCTTCAATTCTGTGAAGGCATTTTAATTTAATTTGATCTACTTGTTCAAATATATACCTAAGTCAGTTGTATAATTTATTTTTGATATTAATACAATTTTTTTAGATTAGCGTAAAACTCCCTTAAACCAATAACAAGTTTAGTTAATTGAAGTACAATAAATATGTCATTAATAAGGGCATACCACCGATGACATGCTTTGAACATTGGGCATGTGGCTATGGTTTACTGAGAAAAATACACAAATAGGCTGCTGTTAGTCATTTGTTCAGAAGTGGTTTATCACTTATTACCTCATTTTCAAGGAATTCTTTGTTATAATTCTTCAAGCCATTGACTTGTATTATTTTAGTGCTATATATAGGTTTGATATGTTGACTGATGTAATAGTGCTCTAATAAATGGCTCATTACATAAACACATGCAGTTGATGCCACAATGTATGTCAACACGTGCAGTTGATGTCAGAATGTATGGCAACACGTGCAGGTAATGCCACAATGTATGGCAACACATGGAGTTGATGCCACAATGTATGGCAACACATGTAGTTGATGCCACAATGAATGGCAACACATGAAGTTGATGCCAATGTATGGCAACACGTGCAGTTGATGCCACAATGTATGGCAACACATGCAATTGATGCCACAATGAATGGCAACTCATGCAGTTGATGCCAATGTATGGCAACACGTGCAGTTGATGCCACAATGTATGGCAACACATGCAATTGATGCCACAATGAATGGCAACACAACTTTTCTCATGTTCACCCATTTTGAAAATTAATAAAAAATAAAATTTGCTTTCATTATATTGTTTTCTTTACAACACAATATCAATAATTTTCTGGTCTTCTTTCTAAAGTATTCTTATAAAAATTTCATTAATTTGTCACATCTTGCTGAACATAGTAATAGAAAAGTAATTTAAAAATATTTTGATGAATATAAATATAGAACAATAAAGAGCCATATGAATATGAAATACTTATAAACAATAACAACATTAATCACAGCAGGTCACTTGTGTCTGAGACACTGCTGGCCTGGTGCTCACCATCTACAGGAAGGCACAATTGTCTGGGTCACTGCTGGCTAGGTGCTCACCCTCAACAGCAGGACACTACTGTCTAGGTCACTGCTGGCCAGGTGATCACCCTCAACAGCAGGGCACTACTGTCTGGGTCACTGCTGGCAAGGTGCTCACTCTCAACAGCAGGGCACTACTGTCTGGGTCACTGCTGGCCAGGTGCTCACCCTCAACAGCAGGTCACTGCTGGCCAGGTGCTCACTCTTAACAGCAGGGCACTACTGTCTGGGTCACTGCTAGCCAGGTGCTCACCCTCAACAGCAGGGCACTACTGTCTGGGTCACTGCTGGCCAGGTGTTCACTCTTAACAGCAGGGCACTACTGTCTGGGTCACTACTGGCCAGGTGCTCACTCTCAAAAGCCTGGCACTACTGTCTGGGTCACTGCTAGCCAGGTGCTCACCCTCAACAGCAGGGTAATACTGTCTGGGTCACTGCTAGCCAGGTGCTCACTCTCAACAGCAGGGCAATACTGTCTGGGTCACTGCTGGCGAGGTGCTCACCCTCAATAATAGTGTCTGGGTCACTGTTGGCCTGGTGCTCATTCTCAACAGCAGGGTAATACTGTCTGGGTCACTGCTGGCATGGCGCTCACTCTCAACAGCAAGGCACTATTGTCTGGGTCACTGCTGGCCTGGCACTCACACTCAACAGCAGGGCAATACTGTCTGGGTCATTGCTGGCCTGGCGCTCACTCTCAACAGCAGGGCACTTATTCGTTTGCCTTGTTCGGGTTGAATGTAGACACAGTAGTCGCTTCTGTATATATTTATTGAGTGAGGCAAACAGGTGTATAACTGGCCAGCCGAGGTCCACCTACTCTGAGTCTGTGAGGATTACTCAGGCTGCTGGGAGCATGGCTGATGCTCCTCTGTCTGGCATGACGTCAGAGGCCTACTTGCCTCAATGTGGTTGCTAGAACATTAATAACTCTTATGACAAGCACTGTAAAAATACATATGATAGTAGACTTAACAATGGCATCTAATTTATAACAAAATAAGGTTCAGAAAAACTATACATTATATATAATGGTAATAATAAGACACATGTGGTAGAAATACTGCAAATGATTTTTTTTTTCAAAACAAACAGAATAACTGCAGAGTGCATTCAATTATAAATTCTGCGGATATCTACACCTAGCTCATCCAGAGCTCTATACAACTCTGGCTCTGACTGAAGGTCCGGAACAGATGAAACTTCATGTGACAAACTATCATCTTGAGAGATATCCTCGTTAACATCTAGCCAATGGACATGTGGTGAGTGCACGGTTGAAACGAGAGGTCTAGATCTAAGATTATAGTTGCTAGTATGGGGTTGCTGAACATCAAGTGGTCTGTCAACCACAGAAGGTGGTGTCAGAGTAGGAGTATCTGTCTGGGTAAGTTCATTGTCATCTTCCTCATCAGTCTCGTCAACAGTCATTTTAGCTAACTTCATGTGGTCTAAATGTTCATTTATATACTCTCCTGTTAACAAGTTCTTAAGTCTGTATTTGTTACCTTTAATAAGCTCGATTACCTTATATGGACCCAAAAATTTCTTAGTTAACTTGTACATAGGACCAGACCTGTGTTGGTTAAGTATCATTACTACAGATCCAATAGTTATTTTACTGGGTTTAGCTCGTGCATTCCTTGCTAGAGTGAACTCGGCTGTAGCTTTGGACAGTTGTTCACGTATTTTCTTGAATACTAATTGCATCTGTCTACGCTTCACTTGAACAAAATCATCTACGTTATATAAGGGAGTAGGAGGTACATTAATCAATTCATTAGGGAGGATCTTATCTGTACCATAAAGAATAGCGTGAGGTGTGTCACCTGTAGAAACATTATTTGAAGAATTTATAGCACACTGAATTAAGGGTATAAAATCATCCCAATTGTTATCAAAATTCAACGTGACTCTCAAGGCATCTAACACTTTCCTGTTAGTACGTTCGGCTAGTCCATTACTTGCTGGATGATAAGGCATGATGCTACATTTTTTGATGTTATATAAATCACACAAGCTAGTTAAAATACTATTACTGAATTCTGGACCATTATCTGAAAGGATTACTTTAGGCATACTATATCTACAAATTATTTGGTCATGGAATGCACTGGCTATAGTTTCTGCTGTTTTGTTCGGGATAGGAACTAGTTCGCAAAACTGTGAAAAATTATCGACCATTACAAGCAAATGTTTGTTCCCTTTCTCTGTTTCCGCAAAATTTATCAATAAATCCATCGATATTCGTTCCCAAGGAGCTTTAGTTGCTGGGTACACCTGAATTGGATTAGGTCCTGAAACATGTCCCTTGTGCTGTAAACAAGTTAAACATCTGTCAACATAATGAGCAATCTCCTTAGCCATTTTTGGCCAAAAATACTTCAATCGACCTTGTTGGAGTGTATGATCCTTTCCTGGATGTGCACTTGCAGGAGCATCATGGATAATTTTTAACACAGTTGGTACCAAGACAGCTGGAACAACTAACTGACAACATTTCCTCGGGGCTGTCCCTAGCTTTACTACTCTACACAGTAAATTGTCCAACATAACTAATTCTTTCAATGGTACTGGCGGTTTATGAATCGAGCGAGTGTCTTGCTTAGTCAAAAATTTAATGACGGGTGCCCATATGGGGTCTTGTCTTTGTTCCGTTTCTACTACTGTAGCATCTAATGCTGGGTAATTTAACTGAATCGCAGCTACGTGTCGAGAAAACGCATCGGCTACAACATTTTGCTTCCCTGGAATATATCCAAATGTGGGATTGAATTCTTGGATTGTGAGCAAATATCTAGCAAACTTTCCAACTGGATTCTTATTTTTGAACAAGGGAATTAATGGTTGGTGATCTGTAAGAACATGAACTGGGTAATTATAAATTGTATCCTTGAAATGTTTAAGTGCCCAGACAACTGCCAAGGCTTCTCGTTCTGTTGCGCTATAATTTTTCTATTCTTTAGATAATGTGCGGCTAGCATAAGCTATTGCGTGATCTCTGTGACCTTCTGTTTGAAGTAATGCAGCACCTAGACCTATGTCACTAGCATCTGTAACCAACGTAAAAGGTTTAGAAAAATCTGGGTACCTAAGGACCAACCCGTTCTCGCAAATTTAATAAGTCAATATTGACTTATTAAATATGTGCATAGGTGACATACTAAACATAATAGTTTCCCTTGAAAAGCTTCATAGAAAACACCGACCTTACCTAACCTTCTTAGTATGTTAAGATAAGCATCTTATTGCTTCGTAATTACAATTATTACCTAACCAATACCTATAATAGGTTAAGTAACAATTGTAATTACGAAGCTATAAGATGCTTATTTTAACATATTAAGTAGGTTAGGTAAGGTCTGTGTTTTCTATGAAGCTTTTCAAGGGAAACTATTATGTTTAGTAAGTCGCCTATGCACGCAACTAATAAGTCAATATTGACTTATTAAATTTGCGAGAACGGGTTGCTAAGGACAGGTGACGAAATCAAGGCTGCTTTGAGTTTTTTAAATGACTGATCCTGGGCCTCTCCCCAAACAAAGGGTTCATCTTTTCTTTGCAACTTGTAAAGCGGAGCGGCTATAATAGAGAATCCAGCAATAAATGAACGATAAAATCCTACAAGACCTGTGAACTGTCTTACGGCTTCTGCGGTACGAGGTGTTGGAAAATCACGGGCAGCAATAATTTTTGGTTCATTCAATGTAATACCTGAAGGTGTAACTGTATGACCTAGGAAATTAATCTTCTGCTTTAAAAATGAACATTTTGCAAGTTTTATTTTTAAATTAGCTTCAGCGAGCTTTACAAGTACTTTCTCAAGGTTCTGGAAATGAGTCTGAACATCTTGCGACATGATTATGAGATCATCAAGGTAAACTAGAAGAGTACTTCCTATCAATCTACGAAATAGATTTGTCATGAGCCGTGAAAAGGTTATTGGACTACTACGCAAACCAAACGGCATTCTTTTGAAATGAAAATGACCATTGGGAGTACTAAAGGCTGTCAATTGTTTACTTTCCTCATCAAGGGGGATTTGCCAGAATCCCTGCAACAAACCTAACGTTGAGAATACTTTATTTCTACCAATACTTTGCAACAAATCATTTAGAACTGGAAGTAGGAAACGATCAGGTATTGTTACTCTGTTAATCTTGCAATAATCGATTACAGGTCTCCAAGTCCCATCTCGCTTTGGTACAAGGATCAATGGAGCGTTCCATGGCGAATTACTCGATTCAATTACATCACTCTGTAACATTTGCTCTACAAGTCTATCGGCTTCTGCTCTCTGAGAATGGGGAAGACGGTAAGCTGGTACATAAATAGGCGTAGTTCCTTGTTCAAGGGGAATTTTTTGTGTAATAAGAAGAGTGAGACCTAATTTTTCTCCTGGTAGAGCAACAACAGCTCTATTCCTGTTCAAAATTTCCAAAAGCTGAGCCACAGAGTCAGGAAAATCAGTGGGACTGAGGTGTTGCGCTTGCAACTCTGGCTGAGATCCCTGTTCTCCTGGTGTGAGTGTACAAACAGTATGATCCATGGAGACATCATCCACAACTCGCACCGGTAATGAGTAATGGGCAAAATCTACAACATGGGTACCAGACTGGAGATGGATGTCGGCATTACTAGTGTTTGCAATAAATAATGTAACAGTACCATCCTGCACTGTGTGCCAGGAGGGTTCAACAAATGTACCATTCACTTTACAT